AAAAAAAAAAAAAAAAAAGAATTAGAAGTAGTTATGGACCTGAGTAGAGATTTGTTAGTTGAAATCCTGGTGAGATTGCCCGCACAAGCTTTGGTCCGTCTTATGACCGTATGCAAATCGTGGAAGTCCATCATAACCAGCTCCGAATTCTGTTCCTTGCACCTCTCCAGAAACCGCCACACCTCCAAAATCTTGCTCATCACACGAGACCGTGGCCAGTGTAACGGCGATAATGACAACGTACCCAAGGAGTGGTACTTGCTGCTTAACAACGACGAACATCTCCCGGCCGACCCTTCCTGGTTGGTCCCTTTCGATTTCCCCTGCTTCCAATGCCAAGACTTGACCTCTCAACACATACTGGGCTCCATCAACGGCTTGATATGCATATCCCTGATACCATACTATTTGTGGGGTGATGTGGAAGCCAACATACCCATTGTGCTATGGAACCCTACCATCCGGAGGTACATCCGCCTACCGAACCCCACCTTCAGCTACACGTGTAACTCGTCCATCGAGTTTGGATACGACGCCACCACTGACGATTACAAAGTCATGGTCATTAGGAGAGTAGGTGGCAGTACTACTACTACTACTCCTGCCCTAGAGTTCCACATCTATTCCTTGAACTCACACGCGTGGCGCGGAGGTTTCAAAATATGCCCTCCCGCCGGGACTGGAGAAAGAGGAGACCGCCGATTGTTTGGTAGCACGGGCGCTTTGGCGGGAGGCAAGATGCACTGGATCGTCTCCAATGAAATTAATTATGATGAGGTGGAGCTTGATGAGATGGAGCTTCTTTGCAAGCGCAGCCTTTACTCGTTCGATGTGGCGGAGGAGGTTTTTGCAGAGATGGCCTTACCTGAGGAGGAGCTGGCTCATGATAAGGTTAGCACAGACCCCATAATTACTGTAGTTAGGGACTCGTTGCATTTGGTTCAGGGCACGCTTGGCTTGCCAATGTATTGGACAATTTGGGTGAAGATGGACGCCGGCGGATCTTGTGATATGTACTGGAAGAAATTGTACAGAGTTGATGTGACCGCTATATTTGTGTGTTTTTTGAAGAATGGGGAGTACTTGATGGACAAGTACCCTCCTCACCCCAGTACTGGGGTGGTCGATGATGACCATGGTGTCTTAGCGGCATATGATCCGAGGGCTAGGCAGTTTAAGGACTTGGAGCCCTTGTCCCTCTCTCAACAACGAGCCTTTGGGAGTGTCCGTTCTTTTAATCACCAAGAGAGTCTCGTCCTTCTCGACCGCTAGCCGATGGACGACCCGCACAGTAGTTGGAGTACTTGTCAAGTTCAAATCGAAAAAGATGACAATTAATCATGAGATATTTGAAATCTACATCAACAGAGGTATAAGATTGTTTGGTGCACTTCTAAAAACTGTAACTATCAAATGAAAAATTAACTATAAAGATGTCTTCCATGTTATTTACATAGTTAGAGAAAGATTTTTTTAAAACATATTCAATAATCAAGAGAAACTAAGAGGAACCACTAAAAATATTAGCTTCGCATTTATAGGCAAACTAAATCGATGCGGGTTTTGTCCAAGCTAACTAACTCGTTTC